GCTATAGCTCCGTAAAGGCATAGACTTTTCCTTTCCTGTTCTGCATTGTACTCCTAAAGCCCAGCTTGGTGCCTAGCACATAGTCAGTACTCAGTAAGTTCACGATGGCCATTTCCTAACTTTCCTTATCCAGCAGAGACTGTGTGGTCCGCCAGTCTTGCCAAGGGGCTCCCTCCCAAGACTCCCTGAAATTAACACCCTGCTCCCCCTGCTTCTCCACCAAACAGTCACGCCGGACTCCCTCACCTCCAGCCAGTCCCCGAGCCTCCCCGCGCTGCCTCAGCACCAGGTGTGCCGCTGCGCTGTCCTCACCTTGTTCCTATCTCCGGCATCTCAGCAAGTGCCAAGCATCCCTCCATCCTGAGATACTCTCTCCCCTGGCCTCCCTGGTGCCAGCCTTGCTTATCCAGCCTTTCTGGCCATCCTTTCTTTGCAGGATTTGTACCTTAGGTTTCTCACTTTAAACAAAATATTCCGGACAGTCCCATCCATTCGCACAGTTTCTGTGCTTGACAATTTGTTCATCTCCAGACCCATCTGCCCAGCTGCCCCCGGCACAGCCTCCCCTCCCCAGGAGGAGGCACCTCAAGGCCTCTTAAGCTCCAACTCCTCTTCCTTCTGCCCTTGTTGCCCTTTCCCTGGTGGGCTTCATCCTTCCTGTGGCCGCCTGACACCAAAACAGGGCATCTGCCTTGATTCTTCCCCCTTCTCCGGCCCCTTCATCTCAGCTGTCACCTTGGCCTATGGATTCTTCTTCCTGAATAAGTGGCTGTTTCTCCCCAGTCCCATCTAGAGTCCTTTCCCCATTTTTGGAACTTGGGCTCCAGGTGCTCCTGACCGACAGCATCTCACTCCTGCTTTTCTACCAGGGCTTTCTGAGCTGCCTCCCGTACTGCACGCCCACCTGCACTCCTTCCTCCCCTCTGCAGTCTGGGTTCCTCTCTATGGGCAAATCTGATCCTGCAGATCCCCTGCTTCATACTTGTCACTGTCCTCTTATTCTTTTGGGGACAAACTCTCACCTCTTTAACTTGGCATTCAAGGGCCTTTGAGATGGGATCGTAGTCTGTTACTCCAGCCCTCTACCATCCCTCCCTCCCCCACCCCGCATATACCATACCCCATGCTCCAGCTAAAGTGATCTTTTCCATTCTTCAAACATCCCTCCAACTTACCTCTAATCTCTCTCCTAAAATGCTTCCAATTGCACCAGTTACCTAAGCTTCAGGTCTTAGCTTAAAGATCACCTCTACTGGCCAGGCGGTGGCTCACGCCTGTGGCTCATGCCTCTAATCCTAGAACTCTGGGAGGCTGAGGCGGGAGGATCGTTTGAGCTCAGGAGTTCAAGACCAGCCTGAGCAGGAGCGCGCCTCCGTCTCTACCAAAAATAGTAAGAAGTTAATTGGGCAGCTAAAAATATATAGAAAAAAATTATCCAGGCATGGTGGCGCATGTCTGTAGTCCCAACTACTCAGGAGGCTGAGGCAGGAGGATCGCTTGAGCCCAGGAGTTTGAGGTTGCTGTGAGCTAGGCTGATGCCACGGCACTCTAGCCCAGGCAACAGAGTGAGACTCTGTCTCAAAACAAAACAAAAGAAACAAAAAAAAAACAAAAGGCCGGGCACAGTG